TTGTCATCAGCACCCTGCTGCGCTGCTTGGCAGCAGAGGAAGGCGCTCTGTGGTGCACCCAGCTCTGCCACAGGCGGCCCGTACGGCTCCGGCGCAGGCACGCGCTCTGGCGGGCTCAGGGCAAGCCCGCTGTACGAGGCGATCAGCCGCCTTCTCTCTGCTGATGGTAGCTTGTGGAGCCGCTTCAGGTGCTCGTCCAGGTTGTAGACTGCGTAGCGGTGCTCCTAGCAGACAAGCACTCCGTACAGAGGTAGGTAGGTAAACATTGTTAAGGGGGGGGCTGCGCTCTTCTCCTCTTCTCCTCTTCCCTCCCTACACGTACAGGGGCGTTGCACAGGTTTTTTTCATCTTCCTTTCACTCCCTCTGTTGCAACTGTGAGGCGCTGTACAGATCGCGCGCAGATAGCCCCGCGCAGATGGCCCTAGGCCTGGCGGGTTTTCGTGAGCCGAGGGCTAGCTAGCCAATCAGGGTTGCAGGGTTGCAGGGTTTGATCGCGCGCAGATAGCCCCGCGCAGATGGCTCTGGGCCTGGCGGGTTTTCGTGAGCTGAGGGCTAGCTAGCCAATCAGGGTTGCAGGGTTTGATCGCGCGCAGATGGCCCCGCGCAGATGGCCCTGGGCCTGGCGGGTTTTCGTGAGGCGAGGGCTAGCTAGCCAATCAGGGTTGCAGGGTTCGATCGCGCGCAGATGGCCCCGCGCAGATGGCCCTGGGCCTGGCGGGTTTTCGTGAGGCGAGGGCTAGCTAGCCAATCAGGTGGCAGGGTTCGCGCACAGATGCCCCCTCCGGGGCCATACGCGCAGCGGTTCATACGGAGAGGTTCTTAATATCTCTAATAATAGCTAGACTAATAACAAGCTTAGAGTTAAGTAGTTAAAGCACTTTAATAAGCACACAAAGGCGCGCACTGTTGGCAGCTATTAGCTGCTAATTCTAGACAGCCACGAAAGCCACAACTCAGTTAAATTCTACTAGTACTGCAAGGAACACAAGACTATTACCCTGTGTATGCCTCCACACTTGTCGCACCTACTACAGCCACTTAACGTAGGCTGTTTTTCTCTGTTAAAGAAGGCCTATGGCCGCTAAGCTGAGCGGCTAATGCGCAGCAAGATTACGCGTATTACTAAACTTGAGTTCTTGCTGTGCTTTAAAGCAGCTTTTGACGCCTTAATTACAGAGGGTAATATCTAGGGAGGATTTAGAGGTGCTAGCCTAGTCCTACTTAACCTAGAGGCTGTGCTATTAAAGCTTAAAGTACAGCCACGTATGCTAACACCACCTACTATAGACAACAGTACGTAGGACTCAGGAGTCTAAAATACTAAGTAACACCCTAGAATTTAGGTCTTAATTAAAGCTAATTTAAGAGAGGATTTAGAGACACACTAATAGCTTGCCAATATCTATAGTTAACACTCTTAATTAGCTTACTAAAGGCGCAGAGCTAATGGCGCATTCACTAGTTTTAGTGCGTAACTAGGTTGCTGACCTACAGGCAGCTAATAAGGCTGCTACACGTTGTAAATTACACAGGAGGAAGCAAGTACAGCAAGAAGGGACTCTAACCTTTGCTAAGGGAGTGCAGCTAACTACTCTAAAGGAGTTTAAGGCCTATAGTAATGGGAGGAAGGCAAAGAAGAGGTCACGCGTTAATAGGAGCACTTAGTCTTTAAGGCGCTGTGGCACATGTAGTAAGACAGGGCACAACAGAACAACGTGTAAGAAAGATGCATAAAGTACTATAGATTATTACAATATACTGTGTAGCATAGTAGAATGCTGCTGTGTACTATAGTACTGCAAAGTAGTTATAGTGTTGGTGTGGTCTTGGCAAAAGTGACCGGTACACTTGGGTGACCGGCATGCTTGTGGAGTACGTTAAGCGTTATTGTTGTTGCTGCTGCCAGTCCACAGATAAACAAATTAGGAAAGGGGTTTGGACCTATTTGTGACGCCTTGCAATTGCCTCTTTGGGGCAATTGTACAGCTTTTTGAGCGTCGCGAGCTTGTTCATCACGCTCTCTTTGAGCCTTGCGTTCGGCTGCTTCCTCGGCCTTCTCAGCTCTCACTCGCTCGCGCTCCTCCTTCTCCCACGCCTGCCGCTCACGCCTCTCCTGAGCAATCTTCTCATTGTATAGCTTGTTGGAGTTTCTAAGCTTCGTCATCTCTGCTTTTCTGAGTTCTTCTGCCTTCTGGTTCTGTTGCTTTGTCCTCTCGTTAGAGCGTGCTTTCTCTACTCTGCTAGGAGAGTAGAACTCAGTCCCACTGTGATAAGTATTTCTTAATACGCAACTTTTTCTCCTGGTTTCAAAGCTTGACTTGCTACAAGAGCAGTATCAATAGGTGCAAAGGTGGTTGAGTTGTAACGCGTTGAAAATGGGGTGTTAATCGCGATCCCCGTGCATTGGTTGACACCGTGCATTAGGTGCACGAACACGGTAGCATCACTTTCTCGCACTTAGTCACAGGGTGTAGTGATCGTTTTGTAAACAATCCATACAGGTTAGTGACCTATTTACTTACGAGTAGATAGACTAATAACTTCGGCTTTGTTCCACTGTTCTTTGAGCAACTCAACTATCCAGGATGTTCGCCATGCATGGGTTTGCTCGAAAGACTCCAGCAGGTTAACCACCTCATCCTGCTCTTGCGGTACGGACAGCAAAGGTCCCCATATGAAAACTGTATGGGAGAGGACAATCATGAGCTGAGGATTCTGCCTTGCCGACCTGCATGCACTGCATATGGCTCGTATATGGCGCAAGATCTGACGCTAACTCGATTAGCGCTTTGAACCGAAGGTACTCCAGGATAGAGAAACGTACGTCTGCAGGCGATATGTCGCCACGGACGAAGTGTATTGCAAATTTTGCGCCTGCCTTGTATCTCAAAAGAAGGATACTCGAGAAATGAAAGAAGATATATGAGATGACTGCATACCAAGTTAGTTCGCAGACTTGAAAGTCCCTGAGCTCTAACTCACCATGCCAGTCTGCCGTGAACCAGATCTCAGGAAACACGCCTCCATCTTCGTACAGACCTGACCCGATTGGATCGAAAACTGTTGGTCTTTCTTTATCCCAGATTTGAATTGCTTCAGATAGCTCGTTCCATCGGTGAGCTCTGGCCGCTGGCTCAATTGGTGTTCCAACGCCCGCAAAGCAGAAATTGGCAATGCAAGCAGTGTGCCATAGCATCTGGTTAGCCCAAGCTGTCTCCAGTCTCAACCAATCTAAAGGATGCATAGATCGCATAAGCTTTGGCACTGGATACAGCTGGAGCGAAAAATCGATATCGAGAGGTTGTTGGTAGATGCTGGCGTTGTAAAGGATTTGCCGTACGTAGACCCAGAAAGCAGCATCGCGAAGCGTTGATGCTGAGGGGTCTATAAGTTTGCTAGTTTGTGAGGCACGCAAAATGCTTGAAGTACCTTCCAAGTGCTGCTTGTCCCTTGAGTTCATACGTGATGGCACTAGAGAAAGTCAGATGTAGAGCTTGATTAAACATGCAAAACTCACCATTAAGCTGATCAGCAAAATGTAAGATTAACACGGCTGAGAGTAGCATATCGTCATGTCCCACAAAACCATCTTTGAGGCGGACGATGAGTAGATTGATACAGCGGTGATACGCTTTTTCAGCGACCTCGTCTTCTCTACGGTGGCGTGCGGCGAAGCACAAGACTGCTTGGTACAAAATGGGGCACAACCTGAACAAATCCAGCACATTCAATGTGAAGACACGCGAGGCATTGGTACAGTCTAGCCAACGTCCGAGATGTACGGCGAAGTGGTTGAAGAGCACTGCCTCATCGTGTCCAACTGCGAGAAGTTCGGTTGAGCGGCGGATGCTCCTTGAGAAGCTACCATGTCTCTGGTGCGGGATATAAGCTATATCTGGAAAGCTCTTTTCGCTTCGGCTCCGACTTGCTGACTCTGATGATTGCTGCATATCTGGCGATAATACGCTCGAAGTAAAGGAGACAGTTGTGGGGTGGGTCTCGAGTTGCATCCGGGCTCGATTCTGTCCCTGCTTTGTTATCAATTCCGTTTACTAAGCTCGGTGGCATGATGCCTCAATTAGCTCAAAGACATTCTTCAAATGGGACAGTGGTGATGTTGGCTTATGACGATTCAAGTAGAAGAGAGTGACGTACAGGCTAGGTACGGACGATCTGCCCAGCCAATTATATTCGCGCATCTACGTTCTCATCCTGGAACATTGTAGCGGTAGGACAGCACCCTGGTTGTGCTCTGCACCTAGACACGCCTGCAACAAGACGTTAGCTAACACTATCTGTACCTTTCGGCCGATTATCCCGAGACGCTACGAAGCAACTCTTTACCTATCGGACACGTTTCGCAGACAGGAAGATCAACAAACCTTGCGCTCGAAGTTAACGTAACGTGTTTTACAAGCGAGCGCCGCACCCTACCAAACTTGCGCACCTCAAAGCCCTGCAACTCAACAACGTGATAATATAATATATAGGTAATTATGGAGTAGACTAAGTAGTACTCTAGGTATCCTTTTTACACGTACGTGAGTTATGGCTAGTCTCTCTGCACCTCTTGCAGCGTGCCAGAGCCTGGCGGCTGAGGCCTAATTGCTCTCCTCCTTGACGCTCTTCACGAGCAATCTGCTGATCAGCCTCACGTTAAGCGAGTATATCCTCTCCAGCTCCCTTTGTTAAGATCCCACTCTGCTGTATACGCCTTTTTTTACGCTGTTTGCGCGCTGACGCTGCCTCATTAGCCTTCTCAAGGCTAGCAATCCGATCGCGCATCAGCTCAGCTGAGAGCATCACTACCTTAGCACCCTTCTTGAGCTGGTTAATCGCCTCAATAATTGAGTCAGGCGAGGAGCTCTTATGCCGCTGCACGCGATCACGTATTAACGTTGATCGAGCATCAAGCTCACGTATATTGCTCGGTGTACGAGCCTCCCAGAGAGCCTCTGGCAGAGCAGCTGGAGTAGGTGTACGCAGCAGCTGCACGTCAAGCTTTGAGAGCACGGCATCTAGCTGGAGATGTACAAGGCCGGCGCCTTGAAAGGCTGAGCAGATATTGGCTGAGGTGAATGATTGATTAAACGCTGCCTTGAACGCTGGCAGAAACTTAAGCTTAGTGATATGGTTACCGTGTCCGTGCACCCAACGATCAGAGTCAACCAACAATCAGGGCACAACATTTGCAGTAGATTTCAACGCGTAAAAACTCAACCACTATAACAGGAATTTCAGATGCGCTTGTAGAGATTAATAATCTAAAGCTAGGTAACAAACTTGTATAACGTACTCTATCACCGAGCTAGTTATATCACCAAACTAGTCAAAATCTCTTAGCGCGCCCAACTTATATTACAGCAACTTGAATTACTCACTATTAAACAGTAATCTAGTGTACTGCGTGCTTTTATTAGGTTTAGAATCTTCTTCTGTATCTTTCTAACACGTTTAAGCGTTGTGCCCTGTGCCTCCACAGTTTCTACAGCGCTGTTAGGCTAACTAGGTCCTTTCTTAAGTACCTGCAATACAAGTCTTCTTTAATGGCTGAGCTGCTACAGACACCTCAGCAGCTACCTATAATGCTGCTGGGCCATACTCAAGTGTGCCGCCATGCTGAATTTGCTTTCGCTTGCGCGACTTTCTCCTAGTCATAACTGCTAATTGCTCTTCAAGCTTAGTAATGCAAGCAGCTTGCAGCGCGTTTTAGTGTAGCATTAATTTACTACCTTTAATAAGCTAAGAGAAGCTAGCCTAGGCTGTAACTAGTAACTAAGTAAAGGAGTTATGTACAAGCTTTAACTAAGACCTAAACTTGTGTGTATTGCTTAGAGTCCTTAACTGCCACAGTATCTCTAGTAGAGGGGGTGCTAGTAGGGTACAGTGTTGCACCTTAAGGCAATCTAACACTACCTGCGCGTTAGTAGGGACTAGCCCTAATGCCTTAAAGGCCTTCTAATAGTTAGCCTTTGTAAATATATTAAGAAACGCGTCTCTAAAGGCTAGAAGGAAGCCTTCCTTGTTGATGTAGAAGACGCGTTAGCGTGCTAAGTCCTGGACGCGTTAGGAGTACTTACGCTTTAATAGTGAGAAACAGACCATGTTAAGCAGCTAGAGGATGTAACGGGCTAGGTCCGTACTAAGGTCTCGGCACCGGAGGCCTCGATCGCCGGAAGCTAACAAACGCACAAGCAGAGGCTGCCGAAACTCGGCACCGGAGAGTTTCGGCGCTCGAGCTCCACACCGGTAATTATCGGCACTCGAGCTCCACACCGGATAGTATCGGCATACAGACTCCGTGCTGGAGAACAAAACCCACTAGAAGTCTCCGAGCCGGAGCCTGCATCAATTCCATCTGAATCTTACTTGCACTTAGCCCTCAGCGGCCAGCTTCTTTACAGAGGATGTGTGACGAGTGAGCTAGCATACAGAGAGTAAGGATCTTGTTATCTAGGCAATAGTCCTTAAAATCCTAGTTAAGGTGGCTCTTATGGCTGTCTAAGATAAGTAGCCTGTATCCCCCTACCTGACGCGCTCTTGTATGCGCGTTAAAATGCTTCAACCACTTAAGGCTAAGCGCGTTGTTTGTCCAGCTGTTCTTAGAGACAGAGAGCTTCTAATTGTGTGGTATATCTGTCTCCTTGTACCAGGCAGAGATGTGGATGTGTCCTTTGTAGATGATGAAAGGCAGGGTCGTATATCCAGCAGCGTAGATGCTCTGTATAACTGTAACCTACTCCCAATTGCCTGGCTGAACAAGCTTAGGTTGAGCGCATCTCTCAGCGCCTGTGACAACCTTTATTAACCCTATTACGCCTAACGTAAACCCCCAGCACCCAGGCCAACCCAGCACCCGGGTAGGCTGGCGGAATGGGTATACTCCAACGTCCTTCGTGGGTACCCCC